AGAGAGGGAGGGAGGGAGAGAGAGGGGGAGGGAGAGAGAGGGAGGGAGAGAGGGGGAGAGGGAGGGAGAGAGAGAGAGAGGGAGGGAGGGAGAGAAGGCGAGGGCGGGTGCGAGTGGGAGTGGGAATGCGAGTGCGAGTGGGAGCGCGAGTGTCAGTCAAACATGCGCGCGCGAGATTCCCAAAACTGACAGTATCTGTGACAATTATTAATATTGTTTTCTAATAAAATTTCTGCTAATAATTGTTTGAAATACTTATGTGCTATACAGTACGCAATGATCCTGCAAAATATCGTCAAGAATTCACACGGCTTCTGGAAATGCACCCACCTATACTGAGTGAATGGTTTTTCACCACATTTCCGGATACAGCATCCTGGTACCTTGCAAGAACTTCTTATGTACGAACTTGTGCGGTTATGTCAATGGTTGGCTATATTGTTGGCCTTGGAGATCGACATGGAGAAAACATACTTTTGGATGAATGCACTGGTGAAGTGGTGCATGTTGATTTCAACTGTCTTTTTAATAAGGTACAGTAGTTTTTATGTTATTTTCTAATTGAAGTTGTTCTTTCTTTTCAAATCATTTATTGTTTGTATAAGCATGACCAAAGAAATGTGCAAAATATTATTTACCGCCTCTTCTATAATCACTGCAACAAATGAAAGACATTCACACGTTCTCTAATGAATAGCATTTGCTTTCACATTTGTTCATTTCACACTGTTCGGTTTGAGGAGACAAATATGCATAATAGTAAAAATTTCAAGAGAAATTTGCCACTTTAAGTAAAATGAAAGCAATAAAATATTAAAAACTTAAACATAATTAAAATACAGTAAAACTCTATTTATACTATTTTATATCTATTTTTCACGTTTATACGGTTTTTATTTTAGGTCCCGGATAAATTCATATAACTTGCATACTATTATTTCAGTTACGCATTTTACGTTTATACGTTTTTCACATTTATATGTTCATAATAAAAGTACCTTACTCCTAAAACCGAATAACGTTTTAATGATCCCGGTGAGGCGCGGGCGACCTGCGTCCAGAGTCCCAAACTTGTGTGTTAATGGAATCGGCACGGCCCAGATCGCTCGGTCTCTAAGGCGACTTCCTGCTAATGACACTTGTAATATAAAAGCTCAACTCTGCGTAGCTGAAGGGACAAGACCGCGCGAGTCCGTGGGGTGGTAGGGCAAAGTCGGCTCCCGGGCCACTTCCGGCAGCGGAACTTCGAAAAATTTCAGTCGGGCGCATACGGGAGCTCTCTGAAAATCTCAGGAGGCGCGTACGGCTAGCTCCGAGGAAAGAATTAAGTCGTCCTCAGGAGAGAGTAACTGCGTAGATGACCAATAAGTGAAGATTGCACATTGACTGTTCCACTCTCCGAAGGGTCTTTTGCTCGCCGTAATTATCACGCGAGTTCCTTACGGTAGCGCCATGGCGCAAACAGCTAACGAAATGGATCGCATTTCCGCGCGGCGCAGCTGGGGTCGCCAGGCTGTGGCAATCGCGCGCTTTCTGTCGCCGACGTAGAAAACTACTCTGACCCGCAGAATACCGAAATTGGGGCAAATTATTGAAAAAAAAAAAAACTAATTTCGCAGTATCTTTCTGAAATCACGTAAGTACAACTCTCGACGAGAAATTCAATGGTGCAAAGCAAACGTCAATCCGACTATTAGTTTCGAAGTTATACGCTTGAAAACAAATGAAGCCCAAATCCCGAAAATGGGGCAAAAATTGGAAAAAACCTAATTTCGTATTATCTTTTTGAAATCACGACTATTAGTATCGAAGTTATACGCTTGAAAACAAATGAAGCCTAAATCCCGAAATTCGGACAAAAATTTGGAAAAAACCTTATTTCGTAGTATCTTTCTGAAATCACGTACGTAAGTACAACTCTCGACGAGAAATTCAATGGTGCAAAGCAAACGTCAATACGAGTATTAGTTTCGAAGTTATACGCTTACAAACAAAAGAAACCCAAATCCCGAAATTGGGGCAACAAACGGGAACAAACTTAATTTTGTAGAATCTTTCTGAAATCACGTATACAAGTACAATTCTCGACGAGAAATTCAATGGTGCAAAGCAAACGTCAATCCGACTATTATTTTCGAAGTTATACGCTTACAAACAAATGAAACCAAAATCCCGAAATTGGGGCAAAAAATAGGGAAAAACCTAATTTCGTAATATCTTTCTGAAATCACGTATGGAAGTACAACACTCGACGAGAAATTCAATGGTGCAAAGCAAACGTCAATCCGACTATTCGTTTCGAAATTATACGCTTGAAAAGAAATGAAGCCCAAATCCCAGAAATGGGGCAAAAAATTGGAAAAAACCTAATTTCGTATTATCTTTCTGAAATCACGACTATTAGTATCGAAGTTATACGCTTGAAAACAAATGAAGCCCAAATCCCGAAATTGGGGCAAAAAATTGAAAAAACGTAATTTCGTAGTATCTTTCTGAAATCACGTATCATGTACAACTCTCGACGAGAAATTCAATGGTGCAAAGAAAACGTCAATCCGACTTTTAATTTCGAAATTATACCCTTGAAAACTAATGAAGCCCAAATCCCGAAAATGGGGCAAAAAATTGGAACAAACTTAATTTCGTAGTATCTTTCTGAAATCACGTATGTAAGTACAACTCTCGACGAGAAATTCAATTTTGCAAAGAATACGTCAATCCGACTTAGTTTCGAAATTATACAATTGAAAACAAATGATGATGATCGATGATGATCTTCGGTCGACGATATTTTTCCATGATGACCAACGTTGTAATTTGTGGGTCTGAGGTTCTATGTTTAAATCGAAGTATAGCTCGTCATTACCTGGTTTTGCGTCTGCGATATTAAGCGAAAAAGTGTGAAAGAAAAAGACAACACCTTTCAATATCAGATAAATTAATGTTTAAAAGTTGTTAGAGAGAGTGGCATGAAAAGGTAGATGAAATGAACTAATGAACTGGGAAAACGATGGTGTAAAAATATGTCTCAATTTTGATCGTAATAATAAACATCATGTATGCGTTTTTCACACTAATACATTTTTTTTTCTCTTCAGTCCCCTGAAAAAGGTGTGAGAAAAGTTTTACTGTATGATGCATTAACGCAAAATGCTCTAGTATGCTATATAAAATCACCAGATTTTTCTTCATTTGATTGTGTTTTCTGTGCATTTGATAAATAGTATATAGTGAAGCTCATAATTAAAAATAGGAATTTTCATGAACTTGTAGGCCTTAATAATAATTTCTTCTGTAAAGCCAAATCCATCTTTTAGAAGTTCTTGTGAGAATGTGACTTCTCTAATACTGAGTTTTGTTCCTGTTTTATCTGACAGATAGGTCAGGTGTTATTCACATGCTTAATATTTTGTGCTAAAAATCTGTTGCTGCTTTTTTTTCTTCCAGGGAGATAATTTTGATTGGCCAGAAATTGTACCATTTCGATTAACTCAGAACATGGTGGAAGCAATGGGTCCCTTGGGTATTGAAGGGCCATTTAGACGATCATGTGAAGTAACTTTGGATGTGCTTCGTTCGCAATCTGACACACTGATGAGCATATTGCGCCCTTTTCTCTATGACCCTATTATTTCGTGGAAACGCACTGGAGGACGACGTCCACAAGGAGAAATGACAAATGAATCTGTAAGAACATATTATTTAAAATATAATATATCAGTTGGTTCATAATTATGTCTTAAAATTTTCAAACAATTATTTTAGTGTGCTTTGCATGGTTAAAAATGTTTATGGTTTTGAGAGAAATTGTATTCATTTTCTCATATGGCTCCAAATTATTCTTTAAACATTTCAAAGAGAACAGGTTGCATAACAATATGGTATAAATCTAATTATCATTAAAACCTTGGAAATTACTATACTCGCGAAATTTCAACTATCTTCTTTTAATGTATCAGGAGTGTTCTTCACAGGTATACTGCCGGGTAGTCTGAAGGATTAGTTGGTAGCTTGCGCCTAGGTTCAAATTGCTGTATTTTTCTGGGTACAAAACACTTAAGCAGGTTCATCTAGAATTATAATATTTCATATCTGTAATAAATAATACATGAAAGTATGTGCTGATGTAGTGCATGTGTATTTTTGGTACTACATTCACACTAACTTCTATTTCATTATCAATAAGTTTGCTTTATTGATAGCTTCTCTTTACAATGCAGAAATTTTTGCTGCACATATTCGTAATAAAGAACCAGTGACATTTAGAATAAACTAATATTTTTCTGTTTCTTGCCCAGATGTAATGTATTGTAAATGTAAATATTTTTCATAGGAGAAGAAAATGAATGTTTATTTATTTTATTTATTGACAGGTTGTATAAATATACAATAGTTAACATTTACACTACCTCATGAGGTAGTAAACCTGTGTTCAAAACCTGAAATCATTTGTAGTTACACAAGTACTACTTTTGAGTTTTCACATACTTTTTGTGTTAAAACTAAAAATTAATATTTAAGTAACTAATTGTTTTCAGGTTTCGCACACACGTTTATTACCTACATTAAATACTGATTACCAATATTAAATACCTAATGAATACTAGAAAAATGTTGTATTTAGAAAAAAAACTATTCAGTGAAAAAGGAAAAGAATGAAAGAGAAAAAAAATACATATTTTATTTTTGATTGAATTAATTATTGAAGCTATTGGTGTAGTGTATTAATTATTTTGTCTTCTAAATTTATAAGCCACGTTCTCAGTGCTATTCTATACTTTGGTCTATCACTGTCACAATCTTTCAATTCAGTACTCAACAAATTAATACCTAAGTGCTTTTCAACCGATCCATTTATGTTTTGTTTTTGGTGCTTTTCTATTGAATTGCATAATTAGTGAAACTAACCGCCTTTCTTTTTGAAGAACATATATTTACTTTTTCATTTTTTTTAAGGTTTATATTATTATATTTTGTCATAAAACACTTAGTTATGAAAGTAATTTATTAATGTGTTAATAAAAAAATATTTTCTATACAATTTTAATTTAAAAAAAAATTATTTTCAGGCTGTGCAGAATTTAATTCGAATTGAACGTCGTCTCCAGGGAATGGTCCGGGGTGTGGGCAAAGTGTACGCAGTGTCACTTTCTGCTGAAGGGCAAGCTAACAGTCTCATCATAGAGGCTACAAAATTTGAAAACTTATGTCGTATGTATATAGGTTGGGGACCTTACCTGTGATATTAGTTAGGTGATTCCAAACTTGTAATAATTTCTAATGTAGTACATGTATAAGCAAATTTTTTGCTCATTTTTCCTTTGTATTTTACTGATTTGTTAAATCATCAAATTTCTGAAGCTGTTTTGCTATTTATTTTAGTTCAATAAATTGTTATTTTTTGAGGAAAAAAGTTGTATTTCTTGTTTTTACAGGAAGTTTTTTATTACCTATATCATTATTGTCAAGGTCTTCTACATCAGATTCTTGGCATTGGTATAATTGCCCTTCATATAATCTCCAGCCCAAGATGATGAAACCTTTGAACAATAGATTCTTGAATACTCTCTTGTAAAGAAAGCAACCTGAGTAAGGGTCAAATTTTACATTAATTTTTACATTATTTATATTTACATTAAGAAATGTTGCTACATTAACAAAAATCCTCTTTTGGCACCTTATGCCTTGGTTCTTTGAAATTACTGTAACAGCACTCCAATTTTGCGCTGTTGGTCCATGACCATCTCTGTGGTCAGGAAGTCAAGGTCGAGCACAGAAATTTATTTGTTCACCCTAAGAAAAATCCTGATGTAAACAAATACACCTGTGTTAGGATGATTCTCATTGGTTTGGAATATGAGCTCTGTTGTTGGGATCCTGATGCTACAGTAAATAGTTCTCTGTGTAAGAACTAATTTATCTGCTATCATTCAATTAAATTAACCTTGTCAAAACTATTGCAACGGTTTCAAAAAAGGAGACTATTGTCAATTTCATGTGTTTTGTTGGGAGGATAAATAGAGATGGTAGATTTTAGCAATGGCTAAAAATGCGAAATGTTACCAGATGCTGAAAAAAGTAATAATTATATGTTTAATGGTCAGTGCAGTATATTTCTGAAAGTTTTCAATCTGCAATAAAATGCAAAATCACATTGAAAATGCAAAATGATTCTGAATCTGCAAAATAGTTGTTAAATTGCATTTTATGGTTTCCATTATGTTTCCTAACTAAGGATACGACATCAACAATTTCTCATTGGTGTTTGAAAACATTTATTTTGAGATTGGTCATGGTTATTAATTTATTATTAAGATAGTTATTTAATAATAACAATATTAACAATAATCATATTAAAATTATAAAATATTTATTTCGTTTTCTTTACATGAAAGTAAATTCAAGCAAAAAAATACCCATATGTACTTCAGGATATTACTATGGCATAAACTGTGTTTAATTCTGTAACAAATACCAACCCCCCAAAAAAATCCTTTTTAAAATGGGGTGTGTACGCTAGTGGCCCAAAAGGGTTAAAATGGCTGTATCTTAATTAAATGTGTTACAAAAGTATGTTCTGCATGTTGGAACATTCCGGTACTAACCAGGTACAATCGATTGAGTATGGTTTCACATTTTTTACGGTTGCGCTGACGAGAGTGGTGATAGAGATCGGGTGCACCTCCCGCCGCCTCATTAAAATTGCTGTATTTTCAGGTACAAACTAATATTTTGGTGAAACAGGCCTTATACAAACGTTTTAGTATAGTTTTACATTTTTTACAGTGATGGTTACGCGCTTGATGTTTGGTTAACGTTGAACCTCCCGCCTCCACCTTGAAGTGAGTGTACCTTCATTAATAATAATATTTTTACAATCACATGTACAATTTCCTGGTACAATCGAAAATGCTGGTGGGACTGTCCGGTACAAACAATTTACCACATTTCCTTTTTTTTTTTTTAACAATGATGGTGCTACCAGTGTGAAGTTGGTATCGCCACAATAGGAAGTGCTGTATCTTGGAAGTGGTTTTGGTACAAACGGGTGGTAATAATTTCAGTGATGGTTGTGCCAACTTCACAGATATTATCCTTCTGCTTGAGTTATCCATCAGAACTTGTTTTGACTTGTTTTTCTTTGCTTTTACGGGATTTCAAAAACATTCTTTATGAGTATTTTATTGATCATTTTTGGCGATCCCCGACTGTGAGTCGTGTTATCGGTAAATTAAGATAGTATTTTCTTCAAAATGATTTGGTCGAATGTGGCATTACGGATTATGTAGCATGACACTGGCTAAACTTGGCTCTTTTGGAATTTATTCGTGTTAATGATTATCTGAAAATTTTTTTGCTTGAGAGTTTCGTGACAAGTTAAAATTAATCAATTACTGAAAAATTTGGGGAGGGGAAAATATTTGGTCGGATGAAATGAAAATAACTCTGTATGGTTCTTATGGATGCCGAAAAGTATGGAACAAGGGAAATACGTCCAAGGAAACTTGCTATACTCTGCCTACTGTGAAACATGGAAAAGGTTCTGTGATTTTTTTTTATTTTTAAATTTGTTGCGTTACAAATTTGAGATACTAATGTGAGGAAGACTATTTTGATAAGACCCAAACAGTTAACACATTTTATTGCTTTATTTGCATGAAATACACAATACTACACCAAAAAAAACTTATACTATGTGAAACTACAACTAATAAATTTAATAAATCTAACATACAAACAAAAATATGAAATAAAAACTAACGAATCACTTAACATGATACATTGAACTTAAAAACAAATGCACACAAAAATAAAATGCTAATTACTTCTTTTTAGCCATTGTTAAATCACTTTCATTTGCGATTGCAACATATTTACAGGGCACTCATTTATTCCTAATGCCTGTTTTCTTTCTAGCAGTTCACTTTCAAGTTTTGCTTCTGTTTTTAATTTTCTCTCCCGTTCCTGTTTTTCAAACTAAAACTGCTCTCTTTCTAAAGCCAACTTTTCTTCTTCGCGTTTTATTTTCTTTTTTTCTAAATGAATTCTGGCGTTTTCTCTGTCTTCCACTAACCGCAGAAAATCAGTTACTTTCCTCCTAGCAAAGCTGAATTTCGGAGTAACAACTGCTGCGTTCTGCACCTCCGTTTCATTCCCATTTTCTGTTTGTATCAGCATTTCAGGATTTGCATATAAATGCTTTATACCTATGTGTTTCAATGACTTGTTAGGTGTCAATTTTGCGATCTGGGTTCATTTAAAATTCCCGCTAATATTGTGACGCAAACTGCTACAAGAAGCTCATTGCCTGAAGCGAAAAGGCTTGCTAGGTCGCGCATTCACCTGTGGCTTTTCAACCTGCTTCGCTGTTCACCAACTCCCTAATGAGTTATTGTCTGATTTATCGGGAGTGACTTATGACATACGCCGTGACGCTGGTATATAATCGGGTGCTTCAATACAAAAAATAAGTCTTAACAAAACTGTTGATTCCATATCCCATGACCGTGAATATCCTTGTTTGGCTGCGATATCACTTTTTTAATTGGACAATACGATGTAGGATGGTTCTATTGGCAAGCCTGCTAAAGATGACGAGCGCCAGTGACGAGCCTCTAATGTATACACTTCTGCACCTGCATTTGCGAACCATCTTCAAGCATTGACAGAACCGGGAAGAACACGTGTGATGAGTACAGTGAAGAAGTTGTTCGAAGATAGTTTATTTGATGGAAATCTGTAACAAATGTATAGTTGAAAAACACGTATTTTTTTCTCGCTTTACGTTATTTGACGATTTTGGGAAGACAATCATGTAATCACACTGCTAAGAATGAATATCAGTCAATAAGAAATAATAATTTCATGCCGAATTGCTTTATAATTATTCTGTAGAACAAGATACAGTATTTTACACCGATATTGTACAATGTCGTATCTTGGTGATGTACTTCATCCAGCTCTCCCAGTCAAGCCTTTACGTGAATCAGTGGATGAATCAAAACCTCCAAGCACAGCAGAAGAGTACCTGCAAAGGGTTGTGTAAGATTAATGAAAGTATTAATGAAATGTTTCATTTGCATGTTTTGAGTGTTATATGTCGACTGTGTTTCAGCTTAGAAGCAGCTGGCTGCGAGGATGTTGTAGTTGCAGAAGTTGATCGAACACAGTTTGCTAGTAAGCAAACTGGTGTTTTTCAGAATGTAAGTGAATGAGAATACTACAAAGTTTTTGTTTGTACATTATATTATTCGTGAGTCAGGAGTGGTCAGAAACTGGAATGGATAGTATTGGTGCAAAGGGCCTGCTATTTGCGAGAGTGAATTTTCGAAATGGTTCACATTTAGAAATTAAATATTTTTTAATGATGCTTTAAGTTCTACATACAAAAGAGATGTAGATTACTCTAAGGTTGAATATGATATTTGTTATAATTTCTTGAACTGCCAGTATTAATTTAAAATGTTTTTTGTGGCTTGAAACATTTGTCTTACTTAATTTGTCTACAGAATCAATGTTTGTGTACTGATTTTAGATCCCTGGTTGTGCTCAAGCACCATCTCATCTTACACCCAGTCTTGAATGGCAACAAAAACAAGTATCTGACTTTTCTATGGTTAGAAGAAAGTTAGCTCAAATGAAATCTCTACCTGCCCCAGTTTCTAGTGTTGAGTTGGTAATGATTTGAATAAGTTTTGTGTTGGGTTTGGTAACAAACAATTTAATGGTGTAAATTAGTAATGCACTAGATCTATTTATGATTATCTGATTTGCAGCCGGATGAAGATGATGAAAAAGGCTGGCTTTTATTTTGTCTGGGGAGTGAAGTACAAATATCGCATTTGGACAAAGAAATGGGTAATAGTGAAACTGAAGCTGTTGAAGGTCAACTGCCTCTCGTTAGTACTATTGTTTCAATGAATCAGGTATACTTAAATTAATTTTTTAGAGTAAAATAAATAAATAAATATAGCACACTAGCTGTGACAAAATTTTATTGCATTCTTTGTATAAATTTCTTTGTAACTTTCAGCTTTTTGGTGTGTGTCTGCCCAGTTTTCTCACAAATGGCACCCTCAAATCCCATAGTTTATATTTTTCATACATTTGAAGATAGTTGCAAAGTTTTGATGTGATGAAACAAGATTTATGAACGATGTGTCGATGAGCACCTTCTTAAAATTACCAGAATTTGCTGGGAAAGTTGTGCAATTTGAATTGTAAAAAAACTTTGTAAATGGGTATTACATGACACCATGCAATCGATGACTTGGATATAAATGAAACTAAATGTGAATTCAGTTGCCTGGGGCAGGTGGAAACCTGTCTTTGCATTCTGCAAAAGATATCAGTGTACATCTCATCTTATTTTGAAGTTGGTTGACAAGGTTGCCAACTTGTAAAATCAAAAATGTTTGTGTAGCAAGTTTTGTACTCTTTTTATCCCAGTGATTATAAATCATTCCTGTTTCATTAGAAAGCTTTACATCCCCTCTGTATTTAATGTGCTAGAGAAAGAGAGTGCTTTGTTGACTTATGAGAAACCTTAAAAAAACATAAATGTATTTCTGCTGGACAGGGAATAACCCTCCAACTATTATTATCACATTACCTATTCGTATTTCAAAATCGAAGACTCTGCTGTCTTATTGAACATCGCTACACTTATGACGCACAATTCAATTCCATTTATGTTTATTAAATATAAAAAATATTAAGTTGTAAACATAAAGGATCAGGGGGGAAAATTTGAAAATAAAGGTCTATTTTTTAGTTTTTAATGAAAAAATAGGCTTAAACTTCAAGTTGTTTGTTCACATATTTTGAAATATAATGGAATATAAATTGTCAAAAAAATACTCTTACAAAATATTTTTTTATGTATTTTCTATTAAATGTGCAATTTTGACTAAAAGAATTACACTAGTCATTTATTATGAGCAGTGAAAATGTAAAAGCAGTGACAGGAGAATGGTTAGAACTCGTGTTTGCTTAACCGAGAAGGCCAGGTTCAAATACCAGTCTTAGATCCGAATTTTTATCTGGTTGTGACTTATTCAGGGCGGTCCTGAGGTTCACTCAACCTTTCCAAACGAGTACCATGGCTTTGTTAACAATAAATATTGGGTAAAAAGTAATAAGTTTGTTCAAAGAATTGTGACCCCGACCAGGATTTGAACCTGGATCTCCTGGTTTACGCTGAGTTGCTTAAACCACTAAGCTACTGAGACAGCCAATTCTTTGAAGTTGTTAGGCCTGATGTATTGTGCATTATGATATATGTATAATCGTCACCACCCTATTACTTTTTTGGAGGTGTTTACACTCAGATATATGACCCACAGCAATAAAGAATACCAAGTTGTGACCTTGTTACTGAGTAACAAGGTCACTACTTGGTATTCTTTGCTGCTGCAGATCATATTATTCAGGTTACAGGGTGGTGACAATTGGTGTAAATAGTATCCGGTCAATCATAATGTTTGCCACACAATCTTCACCCCACTTCCAGTGACATAATAAGACCATCTTGCAATACCCAATGCATGAACTAGAAGGCCATGGAAGTGGGTAGGACCTGGAGAAGGCTAAATCAAAAGAATTCTTAACATCCTTTAAAAACCCTAAGGAGGTAAACCTGCAGTACACCTAGTACAAGGGTAGAAAGAAAAAATGTAAAGAACCAATTCCATATTCTTTTTTAATCAAAACATAACACAAAAATGTTGCGACTGAATTAAAAAAAGAACAGAAGTTATTTTGCTTATTAAGCAAAGAATAACCCAATTGTGTAGTTTTGTTTTCTATTACAGCCCACTGTGGAGCAAATATTGGATTATCATATAAACTGGCTTCAAGAATCTACACAACTAACGACTCAGCAAGGTCGCTGGCTGTATGCCTTACTGGCGGCTTTGGAATTACCTCTTACACCAGAAATATGTTTCCTATTACGAACATTAGCTAGAGAATGTTCACGACTTCGTGCTCTTGTTGCAGAAGTAAGTATTTTGAAAGATATTTTATTTTCCTATTTCTGTATGAAGATTTAATATTTCATAATAATAATAATGATAATAATAGTAATAATAATAATGATAATAATAGTGATAATAATAGTAATAATAATAGTAATAATAATAATAATAGTTTAATAGCTTTTGAGAAAATTCCTGAAGGGTACATTACTGTCAGTTCTCTTTTGATTGTAACCTGGATTTAAATGGAATGAAAATTCAGTAGGTCTAGTATCTGCGTTAGACCACACAGACCACAAAGATTCATAGTTCTCATTCTATATAGTTCTGTCATCACTTTGTGTCATCTTCCGCATTAGTATATACAGGACCACTAACAAAGCAACATCTCTGTCATTACTATCATCTGCCAATACATTTTCAGTCTCAGGCTACACACATACTACAGTTACATAAAGTCTAAAACAATTTTAACTTTTTTGAAGAGCTTACTAACAGAAAATGATTGTTTCGAATGCAAGCAATTCCAATGATTTGTTCTATCATTGTACAAATGAATTAGATCTCAAATGCTTAAGCTTAAAACTCTGGTATTTTGGCCTACAGTCAGTATGTATTGCTAGGCCTATGACACATGTAAAATGGACCTCACTGTTGCACACATCCTCTCTCTCATGTACACACACATCGTTAACATTGTCTATCTTACTTGGCTCTCAAACCTCTTCTCCTTCCTGAAGGGAAGTGGAATATGTTGTCTGTGAGAAAAGGAGTTTTTAAATTCTCTATTTCTTACTCGGCCTCTTTCCAGCCAGATTTTTTTTTTCATTATCGCTTATTTTCTTTTAAGTAGCTTTGAACCACATATTAAATTATATATGTATGGTTAATCAATGCGACAGGTGCATCTGCAACAATTAAAAAAAAAAAAATTAATGTTTTAAAATCAATTTGACATGGGTGTTAATGTTCTGAGCTATTGTAGTGTCCTTAATCAATATCCAAAAATCTTATCTTGGGGAAAGGGAATAGAAACACCCAGTCTGGTGAAACTAGTTGCATTGTTGATCACAAATTGAAAGAAAAGGTTGGTTTTTGTTCTTCGGAGAATCCCACTATTTTGGGTATATAGAAATAGCAATATTTTTAAGTGATCATGCTACTTCAAATCAGAGTGCAGCAAAGTAGACTCATAAAAATCTGTAAGCCAATAGTGCAATCTTAGTGAACATGAAATCTAGTAAACATGATGTGGCTATTGCTTATACACCACAACACACTGCAGTGTAGGCAATATGCTACTATATATGGATGATAGTGTACCCTCTCTGATGTCTTTCCAAGAAGTCTCCACATATGGAATAGAAATCGAGTGAGGCATTTGAACATAAGCATAGCATGTTTCTAAGTATGAATTCATGAAAAGCAATTCATGAAATTCATGCTCCACACAGACAATCTCTGATGGAGTATACAATATGAACAGTCATTAAAATAAGGTTATTCACAGAATACAGTATTGCAGGAAAAGAAACATTGAGTCAAAGAATTGGTTTCAACTGTTAACATTTGTTCAATAACATACTTCTGGCTGCTTTATTGAGTAAAAATACAATGAATGGGCTGGAGGAAATGAAATCCCTACTGTAAAAAAACATGTAAACTTGAACTGTCTGCTTTGAAAATTTCAAATTATCTATGTATAATAGCAAAAATCGGACTTCATTTCTGGATTCAACATACGTAAATAATTTTAAATCCGTTACTTGCTTTTGAGAAACAAAATTTGACCATTGACCATTGTAATTTGGGATGTGGTTACATCGAAAGTTGCTTGGAAGTTCATGAACAATATTAAAGTTCATAGAAAGCTCTCAGCTTATACTTACATGAATATGTACAGTAAATTTATTATTAAAGAATATGCTCAAAAATAGTTTTAAATTTTTTTTTTTTTTCCCAGGTGGAATCTCAACAAGAAATGGTATCACCTTTGAATTTGTTAATTTGTCTTGTAGCCCTTTACTTTAGACAGGCAGATCTTGCTGATGTTTGAAGAAGAGAAATGAAAATTTTTTTGTTCCAAGTTTCAATGTAAATAGTTGGCAGATATAATTCAGTTGTTTAATTCAGCTCATCCCATGTATGAAAATCATATATGTGGAAAATAGAATGTAACAATATTTTTTGAAATGTATTTGATATTCTGTTTCAATAAATTATTTGATATGTAATATTTGTTTTATGCTTTTATGTTAAGATAAATTAGAAAGTAACTGTGATTGTCATCCAGTGAAGATCAGATATTTATTTAACACAGTCATTAAAGAGACAGCAGTCAAAAGGGTACAATAGAAATACTTTGATGTACAATCTCTTGATTGACAATCGCTTTGTTCCATTTCAGCTAAGTCAAGTTCTTGCACAGGAAATTAAAATATTTCTGAAAATAAATATATCTGATGCCTTATCCTGCCGATCTGCTTTAGCCAAGTCAAGGTAATAATAATGCACTGGTAATAATAATGGAAAAGACAGTAACAAAGTCCAGAGTACAGAAATCGGCTTAAATTTTTTTCCATTTTTTAAATTTATTTATTTACCTCAAAAACAGTTAAAATCTGTGTGGGATTTATTATGAGAAGTTAATTTAAAGCTTTATTTATGTCCAGAAGCAAAACAAGGGGCAATCTCGGCATTTACTCGAGGATCAGGCAAACGGGACGAATACCTGATCGAGATGGGGGTCACTGACCCAGAAGCTGAGGTACAATACTTGTTACAGGTTCTTTAGAATTACACAAACTACATGTAATAATACACTAAATGTTGTTGTTAAAATTAATATTACTTTCCTTTTGGATGATCGGTCTAGTCTAATTGTATAGAAACAGTTGTGCTGCAGAAAAGACGGGACTTAAACTTTTGTATCGAATTTAATCATTTAATGTCATTGGCAAGGTGTTATAAAATAATGTTCATGTATTGTATGTTAATTTTTTATAGTGGGCTGTTGATACTGTCACCCGATGAATATGATTACTACGTTGAGTGTTGTAGTTACAGTGTTTTTTGAAAATAAATTCCCACCTTTAAGTAAGTTATTTTTGACAAAAAACACTGATTCATATATCAAGAGACTAGGTAATGGTAAAATTCCTGGATTATTAAAAAGGGGCTTACATGTGGGTGGGATTTGCTTATGATGCGTACAATACTTTCTTGTAATCTAAAAGTATGGGAGCTATAAGATGTATATCTCTAGAATATTATGCAATATATCAGGCGGAAATTGACATTCGTGAAATATACTCAACCAAGCAGTATAAGGCTGAATGAATATGAAAAAATCTGAAAGCGTAAAGAACTTAATTTAGTGTTCACTTAAATGGACATTCCAATTAGTGTTTGAATTGAAAGACCTAAAAATTACCTTAACATCAGTCAATGAAGTACAGAATTTTTTATTTGAAATGGAAACTGCATTGAAACCGTTTTCTTTTCATTTACTATTAATTTGTTATTTCGGAGCCAATTTGAAATAATTGATATTGTACTATTTATGCTTATTTTATTGCAAAGAATATTCGTATCATCCGCAAAGAGAAGTGTTCTATTTATTTATTTATGTCAAAAACCGTTAAAAAACGTGTGCGACATGCCACCGGGAGAAGTTAATTTTATGTTACATTTATGTCCAGAAGCAAAACCAGGGGCCATATCAGCATTTGATCGAGAATCAGGGAAACTGGATAAAAACCAGATTGTGATAGGATCTTTAGTTTCTAATTGTCGAGGGTATATCGTTTACGTATAATAGGAAGAGAATAGGGCCTAAAATTGTTACCTGCGAGGCTCCCTATTCAGTTAGTAAAGATTTGGAAACGTTTGTAAATAATGATCTATTATTTCAGTAAGGTATTTCTAGTCTCTGAGATCATTGCTTAAGGTACGAACATCTAGAGCATTACCATGAATTCCATACGAAAGTAAATTTGAAAGTAAAATGTTACAATCAAAGATGTCAAAGGCTTTTAAAAGATAAAAAAAAAAAAATATTCCAATAGGTACTTCGTTTTGATTAATGATTGAGGCGAAATCTTTAAGAAAAGGAAATGTGGCTGTTTCCGTAATTTTGATTTTCAAAACCAATATTGGCAATCTGAAAACGCGTTGTGTAGAAAGGATGCTATTTGTATGTAAACAATTCTCTCTCTTATAAAAAATTAAAAAGAGACAAAAGAGTGAATTTTGAATTTAATTTTTGTTGCAATATTGAAAAGCGGCTTATCTTTGGTGTTTAAAAATATCAAGAAACATTCTTATGCATAAGGATACATTAAATATGTTAGTTAACGGGAGTATGCGGCGATGGTGTAACGGTTAGCGTACTGGACTGTTGTACCCAAGTTGGCGGGTTCAAACCCGATCGAAGCCGTGGATTTTTAAGGGCGAAAAAATCCTTCGTACGCCTTCCTTCGGAGGGGAAGTAAAGCCGGCTGTCCCATGTTCGTAGATTTACTTGCATGTAAAAGATCCTCAAGCCTAAATGACGCCTCTGAGCTAAATTCAAATCGCCTGTTTCTCGCCCAAGAAATACCTCCTTTCTCTCCTAGTTGGTGAAAAGGAGCGTAGCGAAATTTGCGTGGTCAGACGGAAGAGCGGGCCTGATGGCCCGAGTCTCGCCACGTAAAATAAGGCAAATTCAATTCAATTCAATTCAATATGTATAATGCCGAGCGCACAAGTTTTTAACAAACAATCCGGAAATTCATCTAAACCGGCCGAATGTTTATCTTTTAGTCTCCTGATTATTTTGAGAATTTTATATGAAGAAGTTTCGGAAATGAAATTTGTGTCTAAAATTTTGGGGGAAACTTGTGATGCTGAATTTTGTGGCTGAAGACCCTTTGTGAGATCGACAGCAATTCTCGAAAAGTATTGGTTAAAGTAACTAGCCACTGTTGTCGGATCTTTCACATTTCTACCGTTATCTTTTAAAACAACAGTCTCGACAAGGTTTGTAGTGTATTTGATTGAATTTTTTACTATGTTCCATGTTGCAATTTTTTTTATTATATGTGTTCAAAATATCCTGATCATGTTTAATGATTTTAACCTGTAGTATGACTTTTCTTAACAATGATTTGTATTTTTTAAAGAAGAGGAGAATATCTTGAGATATGTTATGATGCTTAGAAATGAAAGAAAGAATTCGTTTTTACATGATGTTCTAATCCTGTGTGTTATCCAAGAATTGCTTTTCCATGAAGTATTTAATTTTCTTTTTTGATGAGGAGAGCAAGTGTTAAAATGAAATGAGTGTTGAAGAAAAAATAATTATGTTTATTGTATATAATTTTATTTGATTAAAATCGCTCTGTAAAGCTGCATCGATATACTCAGATTTATTTGAGAGGGATTGAACATTATGGTGCAGTATGTTTATCATTCCCATGTACCTACACTGATGTTTTTCTACAGCATGTTTCTGTAAATGCTGTATATTTACTCAATTTTTACCTCAAGTACGTGGTTAAGGCTAAATGTCCCAACACTTGTACAATCTGTAGCCACCACGTGGAAGCACCAAAATAAGTAAAATTTACTTTACCGATAACGTCTGAGCCAAAGGTCCGATTTTCGATCTGTAAACGGCATTTGACGCCTTTTTAAAATATAATTTACACTACGATGACCCTTTTTCCAAAAATCTAACAAAAACGCGAATTTGATATTAGTTCTCACACTTCCGAGAACAAATTTTAAAATGTGGCCTTATAGCCCAATGGCGACATGCATTCTAAATCCGTCGTGACAATCATGCAAATCGGACGAATAGGAGCGTCGTAAAGTGAAATTTACGAAAACACCTCGCCCCCCTTCCTCTTCTGCGCCGTTGCGTCACCCACCCGCCCGATGTGGGCTCTCTGCCAGCGCGGTGGCACGGCCAGACCCAGAGGTAAAAGCGTCTAAGATTAATTTTAGCTCTGCAAATAATTCAGCAATAAAAAAATAACAGTATCCATTTTCAGCTTTATGGGTACTGGCCTGCGATGACGCAGTTATGCTCGTATTAACAAATAAGAGTTGACAGACTTGCTGGGTCGATCTCCCACTTGATCGACTTGCTGAGTCGATCCCCCACTCTATCGACTTATTGGGTCGATCCCCCCTTGATCGACTTGCTGGGTCGATCCCCCACTTAATCGACTTGCTAGGTCGATCCCCCACTTGGTCGACTTGCTGGGTCGATCACCCACTTGATGGACTTGCTGGGTCGATCCCCACGATGGATTTGCTGGGTCGATCCCCCATTTGATCGACTTGCTGGGTCGATCCCTCACTTGACCGACATGCTGGGTCGATTCCCCACTTGATCGACTAGCTGGGTCGATCCCCCACTTGGTCGACTTACTGGGTAGATCCCCCACTTGATGGACTTGCTGGGTCGATCCCCCATTTGATCGACTTGATGGGTCGATCCCCCTCTTTTTTTGGACTTGCTGGGTCAATCCCTCACTTGACCGACTTGCTGGGTCGATCCCCCACTTGATGGACTTGCAGGGTCGATCCCCCACTTGGTCGACTTGCTGGGTCGATCCCCCACTTGGTCGACTTGCTGTGTCGATCCCCCACTTGATCGAATTGCTGGGTCGATCCCCCATGTGATCGACTTGCAAGGTCGATCCCCCACTTGATCGACTTTCTGCGTCGATCCCCCGCTTGATCGACTTGCTGAGTCGATCCCCCTTTTATCGACTCTCTGGGTCGATCTCCCACTTGATCGACTTGCTGGGTCGATCCCCCACTTGATCGACTTGCTGGGTCGATCTCCCACTTAATCGACTTGCTGGGTCGATCTCCCACTTAATCGACTTGCTGGGTCGATCATCCACTTGATCGAATTGCTGGGTCGATCATCCACTTGATCGACTTGCTGGGTCGATCCCCATGTGATCGACTTGCTAGGTCGATCCCCCATTTGATGGACTTGCTGGGTCGATCCAATACTTGATCGACTTGCTGGGTCGATCCCCCTTTGATCGACTCTCTGGGTCGATCCCCCACTTGGTCGACTTGCTGGGTCGATCCCCCACTTGGTCGACTTGCTGGGTCGATCCCCCACTTAATAGACTTGCTGGGTCGATCTTCAACTTGATTGACTTGCTGGGTCAATCCCTTACTTGGTCGACTTGCTGGGTCGATCCCCCACTTGATGGACTTGCTGGCTCG